CTGAGCGCGGCAGGGCAGGAGAGGAAGGCTGGAGGCTGGGGAGGGGGGGACAAGTGGGGTGAAGAACGGCGGGCTGGCAGCTGTACCGAGGTGGGTCACACCCCGCCGGGCTGGCTCCCAGCGCTGGTGGGCACGGCTCCCCGGGGAAAAAGCAACCTGAGGGAGGAGGTGCAGCCTTCTCCAACCTTTAAAGAGGAATTGGGGAAAGGAAAACAAGCTGCAGCCCATCTGCTTCCATAAGGGGCACTGAGCTCCCGTCCCGGCGCTGACCGCGACCTGGGGTGCCAGCACCCAGCACGAGGGGAGCGGGCGCAGGCAAGGTCCCCCCGCTCTTGGGAGCAATTCGGGGAGACGGCGCTTCCCCAGGCAGCCCAGGCACAGGCGGGGGGGCTGGGGGGCTGAGCTGCGCGTCCCCATGCCTTTCTCACAACAGAACCCCCCGGGCGCAGCCAAAACAAATAGTGAATCCAGACGCGCCTCCGCGTGATGGAAAGATTTGTTACTGGGAGCTGAAAAAATGAGCTTTATCGTGATCGTACAAGGGAAATAGGCTGGGCCGGTTTGCTGCTCACAGCCACGCTGTGTCCCCAACCCTGGCAGCGAACTGTTTGTTTTTTTTTTTTTTTATTTTTTCTCTTTTTCTAGGCGCTACTGGAGGGGGCAGCTCAGTGACGCCCATGTCTCCCCCCCACACTCTGCTCACCCCCACAAAAGACCTGCAATTGCTCCCGCGGGCAGAGGAGCAGATCGGGCTGTTACCCAGGCTCTGCCTTGAACCGCCCGTCGCTTTGGGCTGCGGCAGGGCTCTTCTCCTCCATTTGCCTGCTACGCCTTCCTGCAGGCAGCAGCCCCTCTGTTTCCAAGCTGTGAGGCTGCAATTTCTTCTCCCCAGCTGGTGAAAGTCTCTTCCCTCGGCTCATGCGCTGGTGGCGGTTGTAGGATCTCAGAATCACAGACTGGTTTGGGTTGGAAGGGACCTCAAAGCCCCCCCAGTGCCCCCCCCTGCCCCGGGCAGGGCCCCCTTCCCCCAGCCCAGGGGGCTCCCAGCCCCGTCCAACCTGGCCTTGAACCCTTCCAGGGAGGGGGCACCCACAGCTGCCCTGGGCACCCTGGGCCAGCGCCTCACCCCCCGCACAGGGAACAATTTCTGCCTTAGATCTCACCTAAATCTGCCCTTTTTTAGTGCAAAACCATCCCCCCTCATCCCATCCCCACCCCCTGACCCAGAGTCCCTCCCCACCTCCCCTGTCCCCCCTTTAAGCCCTGGGAGGCCGCTCGAAGGGCTCCCCGGAGCCTTCTCTTCTCCAGGCTGACCCCCCCCCCCAACTCTCAGGCTTAGCTGAGATGTTTCTGCTCGCCCCTGCTCCGCTCACAGCCCCGCCAGCCTGGGGAACCAGCCCCGTCCACGGCGCCCCACGGGGACACCCACTCAGGGGCAGCTTCTCCCCCACCGCCGGCGCGTTCCCTCCGCTGATGGGGAGAGGGGTTCAGCAGCACTCCCAGTTCTGTCACCACCCCTTGCTGCCCGCAGCAGTAATGCAGTTGATAGGTACAGACTATTGCATTTAGTTTAGCATACACAGGAACCCTGCCATATCCCTATTATACTGCAGGGAGTGATCTCTTCGCTCTGCGTTGTTCAACAAGCATGGAGGGATTCTGCCCGGCAAATCCACGCCCACAGCAGAACGAAATACCTGCTGCATCCCAACATTTATAACGGCCTGAACAACTGCTCCGCAGCCTGGAGGTTTTAGGACTAAAATGTGTACCCAAATCTGCAGCTCAGAGCTATTGGTATTTGAATTTCATCTCCAATTAAATAAAGCACTCAAGCATGCACCCAGCTCTAACTCTCAAGTAACATCACCGAAAGCAATATCATTTTTCTAGTTCAAAATGCACAGGACTTGAATTTCTAATAGCATTACCTAAGAACACAGCCTGCTGCGTGCCTCTCAGAGAGGGGGAAAAATTGTTTTTTCTCTCCTCAAGACAACCGGAGGGCAAAGGCTACTTCTCTTCTAGTTAAGCGCTGTCCTAGCTATTCTGAAAAAGTAAGTTTTGCAAGCAAAGCACTTTCCTTTCCCCCCCCAGCCCCCCAGCCCCTGCCATCCCGTCGGCCACCAGCAGTAACACGGTTTGCTGGAGGGACACGCTTCCCTCAGCAGTTGTATGATGGAAACACCAAACCAGTTTGGATAGATGGTCGTTCCAGCACAGCTGAAAGGAGAATAACTCACTGCCGTGTTGCTTATTTTTAAGACAATGAAATTGTTGGAGCAATATTTGTGTTTTCAAGTATACTACGCAATGAAATTATTTCAGTTTTGCCAATGCGCTGGGTCTCTTTTGCAGCTGATACATTAATGTTTGGAAACACTTTAATCTGTCCGTGGAAGATGAACATGTGCTTCCAGCTCACGCTCTATCCGAGGACTGTGTAATACAGGTTCCAAATCTTTTTCTCACTTGCCAAAGGCATTTCAGAATTACAGAAATGCTGGGAAATATTGAGGCATGGGGTCTGCGGTTTGTGCAGCTGGTAAGTTCTCCAGCTATAAAAAAATTACTTCGCAGAGTCATTACGGCATCATCGTTGCAATTTTTAATTCTGACAAAGTTCAGGATGATGGAAAGATGCTTTAGATGACTGGATATGTCTCATTTTACAGCGCAATAATCATTTTTATGCCAAGTCTTAAAACCCGAGTACTCTGATCCTGTACATGCTGCAGCTTGTGAAAGTGCATTAATAGTAAATTAAAGCAGTATCTGGGAAAAGAAAGAGATTCGATCATAAACCGGGGTGTGGGGGGGGAGAAGGGGTCAGCACCCACAGCGCGGGAAGGCTCGGGCTTTAAGAGTGGGGCAATTGCAGGCGCTGTCCGCGTGATGGGAGCAAGAAGGGGCTGGGCGGGGTGGCCCTGTTCAGGAAATCCCCCAAAGGGCAAAAAAGGGGTGCGAGGGGAGGGCGCTGGCCCCACCGGCTCCTGGGGGCCCCATCCCCACCCCCAAGAGGGACCCCGACAAACCACACCCCGCTCCTCCTCGGAGCGGCGGGGCCCGGGACCTCCAGAGCTCCCCTCTGACCCAAAGGACTTTCAAATAACGGGTTCTCGCCCTTCCCTGTTGTTTCTGTTTAAGGAGTTTCACCCTATGCTGAAAGCTCTATTGATTCTGTTTCGGTTTACCTTATGTACAATTAGAAACAAACCCCTACATTTTCAATTTATAGCAATACTTTCTGTATTTTGAGATGCACATTCTCATTACATGAACAATGCGCAAAAACAGTCAACAAAATTTGACTTGTGACTTACAAAGGTTAACGACTTTCTTCCTTAATTTCAAAGCAGGTAGGTTATGGGCAAGGAATAAATACTTTTAAAATACATCACCTTTATTCTCTTTTAAATCTAAACTTTCACAAAATCGGTCATGTTTATGTGTATGACTTTTAGGAAAAATTGCCATTTTTGTTCTGAGCTTGCAGAACATTACAGTTTAATAGCCAGCTCAAGCGGTGAGAATTATTTCCACCTTCCTCAGGAAATTCCTCGTGGAGTCGGGACGGGGCTGGCAGCCGTCCCCGCCCGTGCTGGGGAGGTGCCCGGGGCAGGTCGCTCAGTGCAGGCTGAAGTGTGCTGGGTGGTTTGCTTTAGCTGGAGCCCTCATTCTGCCTCAGGAAAATCACGACAGCTGATAATTCCCGCGCCCCTGTCCTGCCTCCATCACGCCAGCACCAGGGCAGGGCTCTGCCCAGCAGCTCCCAGCACGGGCGGCGGCACAGAAACACAGGCGGGTTTTGATTTGTTGGGTTCTTTTGGTCTGTGATTATGGGAACGACCTTACCCGAGGAGGAGACCACATACTAGGAAGAGGTAGCAGATGATAAACGCAGGGTGGATTCGGCACAGGCCCTTGGGCTCTCTCAGCCCGTGCGAGGGCAGGCACTCGCCAGACACTTCCTCCAGCAGCAGCCTGCGCCAGCCCTAGGACTTCTTGATTTGCAGGCATTTAGTGGAAGGTGCCATGCTCACCAAGAAAGAAAAGCACTCTACTGCAGCTCCCCAAGTCAACATTTACCAGGTGCACCTATGGTGGTCTCAGAATTATTATTTTTTTTTAAAAAAAAAAAAAAAAAAGCGCACCAGATTTTAATTTTTTTTTTTTTTTGCCATCTCTAGTTAACATAGACAGCTAGAACCCCTTCGGTTATGTTCCTTTTACCATTATGTTCCTGGCCCTTCCTAAAATTAAGGTCAGTGTATTAAGTATATTTGGGACCCAAAAAAGTAGAGGGCTACAGTCGTTGTGCATTGTACTGCCCAGTGCTGATTCAAGCCAAATGTTACGGCAAGGCGTTTGAATTTTTCTGACACAACCTGATGTTTTTTTAAAAATGAGTAACTTTATGCTGAAATGAACTGGAAAAAATCCTCACCCGCCCTGTCTATCTGCTGAATGTGTTTTGAAATACTTGCTACAACAACGTGTAATAGCAACCTTTAAACTTAGGGAAAGCTAAAACTAAGTCCTTGATGGGTATTACCTGAGAGTCTTTTATTAATACAGTAAATCTTCCCTCCCTGCCCCCCTGCAAGAAAATCACTTGTGTGTTTTCCTTGTGTGCCAGCTCCAGCGTGACTAAGGCTAGAAAAGGCAGTGTTTTCTAGCTGGAGTTCACAGCTGACATGATTCCGTGTATTTTAAGGACAGTATTGCTGAGTACCAGCAGCGAACGGCACCTCCTGCAGCAGCAACCTGAAGCTGAATTCAGGCCTTGGGCCGGAAAGAGTTCAACACACCAATCCCTGCTCTCAACTGTGTCAAAAAATGAAGTCATTTCTGCCTGTATTTAGATTAAGATGGCAAAAAAAGTAATTTTACCGCAGTCACCAAACCTTAAATTTCCATTTCACTACTGGAGAGAGGAGTGCCTGTGGTTACTAAAGCTCCAGCCTGTTTATATTCACCATCCAATGAATGCGTAAAAATTAAAGTTTTTTTCCCCAGGTTTATTTACTAAATTGTTTCACATTCAATGAAATAGTTACAACAGTACTTACAGAGCATTATCACAAGAGCAAACATACTGAGAACGCCAGTAAAGACCGAGAACGCAGGTTACGGTTATTTTCCTGTTGAACTCAAATGCCACTTTTGTAAACAAGAACAAAACCAGAACATCACTGCTAAAAGAAGATGTACACGTAAAAACACTCTACGTACACAAAACTACATATACCATTTTATACTCCCAACCAAAGCACTCTGGTCAAGTCCGAGTACAATTTGGTATTCTCTGTACAATTATTAAATCCTGCTAAAAATTATAGTTATCCTTGGGTTTAAAATACAGCACAGCGCATAAGGCAAAAAAATAGGAATTATCATCCAGTCCTTTGTGTTTCAGTTAGCTATCAAGAATTTAAGGCAAGTTTGGACATTTTGCATTGTTTCATACAGTGAATGGGGACTTACAGATGGCAAATTCACAAAAGTAAGACCCTGTCTCCCAGAAAGAATTAACTGTTTGTACTGCATACTGGACACATTTGCCCCTCTAGAAATTCCAACTAGACTCTCTGAAAGAAAAGTATTCCTAGTAGGAGAGACTGTCAAGAAACTTACAGATGAATACCTTGGAAAAAAACAAAACAAAACAAAACCAACCAAAAAGCAGAAATTCAGGAACTCTATGTACACATATAAACTCATACCCATTTTAAAGTGCTTTACAGACAATTTTGAGTGATTAAGAAGTAGAACTGGATGATAATTTATAGTTGTGTGACATCTTATTTGAAGGTCCTTAATTTTTAAGCTGCAAGACAGGCATTAAAACGACAGCATTGTTCTTTAAATGCAGATTTAAACCAACTGTTGTGTCTGATCTTCCTACAACCAAGCACTTCAGTGAACAGGACAACAAGCACCCGGAACAGAAAATGAAGATGACGTGATTTGAAGGGACACGATCCCTGGGTTGGGACACTCCTCAGTCCCTGGCTGGCTAAGCAGTTCATCTAATACCAGCAGGATATTTCATTAAGCATTTCTCCCATTCTTCAGACCAAGCCTGCATCCTGAAAAATTGTTTACGCTGCTATCAAATTGAGCAGCACCACATGACACAATATGGGGTCAGCCTCTACGGCCTGATTGAACATTGCCACTGCCTAGGTAAAGAGAAGGAAGCATTTTGCAGCGTTAAGCGTTTTGACTTCCATAAATGAAAGAGGTTTGTCTCAACATTGAATGACCATCAACACCGCCCTGACCCACGGATTGCTTGTTCTGATGAAGTCAAAACTATTTCTACACCTTGCACTGCCTTCTACTAACTGAAAACAGTGTTTACTAATATTCCCAATCAGAACATGTACATGAGCATCTGCCTTCATGGAACCCCACCGCAGTTAAAAATCTAAAAAGTACGGTACGTATCAAACCGCGCGGAAAGCCTTCTATCAGTAAAAGGCATAAACTCCCCCTTTAGGTAAGGACTTTTTCTTATTTTAATATTCGTTTGTTAAGCATCTTTCCCTCTGGCGCATGCTGGGAAACATGACAACCCACGGCCCCTCTGTGGAACAGACTGGAAAAGCCAACGAGCGCGGGCAGGCGCCCAGCTCGCGCCTCTGCCAGAGGGCAGGCGATGCGGGGGGGCTGGAACGCCTCCCGCAGCCCCCAGCCCCAAACCTGCCCCCCTTCCTCCTCCTCCCCACACAGACACGCAACACCACCACGCAGCTACGGTGTCCTATCAACAGAGTCACGGGAATAACGAACTTACGCTATTATTGCTGTAAAACTGGAATCCTCGTTGGGTCAAATCAACTGCATGGAAAACACTGAAACCGCTGGTTTTATTTGCTTTTAAAGTCCTGCTTGATTCCACCAAAATTTGAAGAATAGGTGCAGGATTTTATAATCTGTGCAAACGCCTGTTATCTATGAATAATGTTTTATGGTGAAAACACCCTCGTCCCCTTGACGGTTAAGAATCTGCACGTTAGCATACGGAAGAACAAGGACCACCACCGCCTGCCTCGCTGCAACTAGCTCGGCAGGAGCTTAGAACAAATCAAGTACACCCAAAACCCTCCACTTAGCATACTTATAAAGAAATGGCTTTTAAAACAACTATTTCAAATATTATTGCACCTTCAAAAATAATACTGCATGGGCTAGAAAAAACAGGGAGAAACAAAACGTTAAATTAACATATTAAAACAAGGGGAAAGTAACTCCGGAGGCAGAAAAATTCTTCAGTACCAGGCCTGGCAATACACACACAGACTTCAAAACAGAAATTCAAGATAACCATGATTCCTAGCTAAATTCAGAAGAAAAACCAAAGCATTCTAAGTTAGCTAAAATTCGTATTTATTCGGTCGTCTATTTTAAATAACGGCTATAGCCCACAGCCTCGCTTTCTGTTTCTCTGCCCCAAATTTCACTGAGTTTCGGGCTATCACAAAGTTGTATCTCTGGAGACTCTGGCTGGTCAGAGGAACCGAGCGCCAGCACCCCCTTGGGCAGGAAAGGTTTGGGATGAGCAGCTACGCCCCGCGCCTCTCACTGACCGCGACTCGTGTTAAAGGCAAGACCGAAGAACCCGAGATGGGCTCCCACTGTTCACTCCCTACTTATGTATTGGTGAGAATAGGAACAGTAAACGTAGCTCGGAAGGAAAAAAAAAAAAAAAAAAAAAAGAAAAAAGAAAAATGTAACAAACGTAGAGCTCGTTCAGTACACTGTGTTATTCTTGACAGTTTTCATAGGCACAAATGTATCAAGCAAATAAGAAACGAAAACAGTAGAACAATCAAAACAACCATGCTTTATGCATACTGCACTAAATTCAGTAACAGCCTTATTGTTAAGTCCTACATTTAGCACCATTTTTATATCTGAACACTCTGAGAAAGCAATCATACATTCTTTTAAAAAAGGAAGTTATACGGAATATGGACACAAGTGCGCTTGGGAGAAAGGATGGGACGGATTCATTTTTGAGTATTTATTTTATATCATGCCATGAATGCTGCCGTGGCATCTCCCGATGCACTACTGTTGTCATTTTTCCTTGCATTACAATTGAAAACACACAGCAGACTAGCAAGATGAAGTCGTTTAATCTAGCACTCATTTATCCACAAAAATAAAGTATAAGTGAAGTTAAAACCGTGATTTCATCAGAGCCAAAGATTTCATTAAGCAGCAATAAATTTGCCCTGTAAATGTCTTTAAGTAGTTCCCAATTACCATCCCAGCCCTCCTACCAGTAAGCAGGTAACAAAGGGGAGTGTACAGGCAACATACTATGGCATTTATTATTTACAAACCTTGAGATACAGGAACAAGGCAGCCCTTTAGTTACTGTTCATAAAAAAAAAAATTATGAAGCACTGGCATTTTCTTACTATGAAGACACAACCAGACAACTATCTGCACACTGCCCAGTCACACAACACATTCACACAACTCTCACCCCACGCACAGTAAACTTCATGTTTCATAGTAGGCAGGAGGAAGAGAGAAAAGCTCTAGAAAGTGAAAGGGTTAGATATACAGCAAGTTTTCTAACCATATCCCAGGCATGGACAGTACTCTCTGAAATTCACTGCCATTAACAGGATGCTATCTAAACCCAGCTGGAAATAAGCTTTCCATTCCTTCCGCCCATGTCACTAATGTCACAAAGGCCAATTACTGGAGGAAAACGAATCCTTCCTCATTTCAACCCCAACTTCACCACATTGCTCCAACCTTCCAACTTCAGAAAATGCAGCTTATGGTCTCCACCCGCAGGGTTCATTTTCAAGCAGATTAAGCTCCACCTTTGCATCACGTCCACAAAGTCCTGCTTTTCATCAAAGTGCAGTCAAACCAAAATTGCATCGACAGTACATCATCCCAGCAGAGTCCAGCCAGGTATCTGAGATGGGATCGTATTTCTGTACAGTGTTCAGATAGGACGACCCTGAATGACCTCCAACTACATAAAGGTAGTTATCAATTACAGCTGCACCAACTCCTATTGGAAAGAAAACAAAACAACAAAACAAAAAAACAACAAAACAAACCCAAATGATTGTATGATCACCGAAGCGAGGAAATGGGTAGTATTTTTGCTCCTAACTGGACCACCCCCCCCCCCCCCCAACCTGAAGGCTGGACAGACAAGTTCTCACAGCCTCTCCTTCTTTGAGCTGTCTTTAAAGAAAATGGGTGTACACAAGAGTCCCTCTCTGCAGGTCTTACATTTCTTTTTTACTGTATTATAGGAATGTGCACAAGAAAAGTCACGCTCTTCTGTCCCAACGCTCCTCGTCAGAGAGACAGAAGAAAAGATACTGAGTCTCAACGTAAAATAAAATACAACAGAACAGCAACTACAGAATTGCTGAAACTCACTCAAACTCAATGAAAAAATAGAAGGTAGAGTAGAAATAGTACTTCATATTAGTTTTCTTACAGCTCAGTATTAATAAACTGGACTGTAATTAAAGACAGAGAAATAAATACTCATTCTTTCACCGAGCTGATTAAGTGACCCTCCTTCACAGATGTGGCGCAGTGCTTTGCAGACAAATCACTGCAATTTTATTGCAGCTACTATCAGCTCAGGCAGCAGTTCATTCCCAGAAGGATGTATCAGAGTTAACTGCCGAGTTTTGTGTGTCCCTACCTGTTCTGGGTTCCTTCATGGGTCGACACACAGTCCACTGATTTTGGTGAGGATCATATCTCTCAATGCTCGATAGGTGAGACACACCATTGTGTCCACCTACTACGAAAATGAAGCCCAGCATGACACCAACACCAAAGTTTATTCGCTTATCAGCCATTGAAGCGACTGTCTCCCACGAGTTTTTACTCGGATCGTAACGCTCCATGCTGCAAATACAAACAAACAACTCGTGAGGCTTGGATTTTAGTGGCGTTTCAATTTCACTCCACAAGAAACCTGCATTTGTCAGAGGTACCTCTAGTTCTGCCAACCGGTATCACCCCACACGGGAATAACAGCAGCACAATATAAACAGTGCATGAGCTGATGGCAAAATTTGCAGCGTGGTGGCTCTGTACCACCCAACAGCAGCACGTGAGAAGGTAAAGCCAGCACTGCCACCCCAGAAGCGACAGTCACGTCCTAGTGTCCCTGGACAACACAAAGCAGCTGGAGGCTCTCAGCAGGGCGCTACCAAAAAGCAGTTTTAAGATATTTCACCCCAACTCAGCAACCGCCGTTCAGCTGCTTCGCTGACGTCCTCGTGCCACTACCCTGGATCTTTGGGTTGCACAGTGAAACAAAGCACGATTTTTCAAAGCTGGCCTCAGAACTGAAAGCTCTTTCAAGGATGACTGCTGCTATTTATGAAAAAAGCAACTCGTGAAAAACACAATGCAGATCTGAAGTGTATCTGTTTGGGTAACACATCAAATCAAAAACTTCCTTGAGGCTTGCCTGAAAATAACAGGCAGAGAGAAAAAAACAAACAAACATAGAGAGCATATCCCTCAGGAAAAGCAGTAAAGAGGTTGCTGATCAAAACACTAAGGGTAGAAGAGGCCTTCAGAATAAAATAGAAATGAATTATCATCATCATTGTTGGTTTTTTTTTTGATCACTAGAGCTGTACAGATGGTCAGTCATTAATACACTCATGGCACGTAGGCATTCCCTGCCCAAAGTGTAGCTTCATTAGCATGAGGGGGCAGAAAAGAGGGGAAGAGAAAAAGCAGAAGCACTACAGAGTTGGAGAAAAGGTGCTTAATTACACTGCAGTCAGCTTGCTTTTAATGCTAGAGCCTGCATGATTAGTGACTCCACAACACGGCATATTACTTGCACCCTTGAACAATTAATAAAATTAAAATTATTCAATAAAAAGTAAATTAAAAAAGGCAAATAATGAAATATCAGATTCCAGTAACTCTACAGGAGCTGCTGGCAATTCCTTTCTGACTGAGAGAGGAAATGTAGTACAAGGAGGAAGGCTTCTGCAGAGTTTTAATGTTAAGAGCTTTCCCTTCAGAAGTGCCAGGCTGACAAAGTTGTTTCCTACTGCTCCAGTGAGGAGTCTTTTATTTCCCGAAAGCAGGTTACCGAGGTTACCTTTCCAAGGCCTGTGCGCACACGGAGCATTCAACTTTTGGGAACCACTTCTGGCATAGGGCAAGGGCTTGATTATCTTCATTTTTTTATGGTCTGTGCAACAAGGCTGCAGCGCAGGGAGCGTCCCCCAGCAACTCCTGGCACGCCTGCTCTGCTCTGCTATTGACTTTGCTCTAAGCTACCGCTAAAGCCGATAGTTCTGTGTGGTACAAAGACGGTACGGAGCTAAGGGTGACCACACAGGACAACAGCACAGCTTAATTATTCTGGGTCAAATTCCTATGTGAAGAAGTTCTAGAGTCAACAGAAAACTTTCAGAGATGGTTTGCTAGTCTATGAAGTCCTTCAACTATTGCAGTTCATAATTTAAAATATAAGAAATTATAATAACGCCACATTAAGTTTCGTAAAATCCTGTCACAACCATACCACACAGTTTTAATTTAAGAAATTGTTTGTATTTTCCAAATGAGAACTACTTAGCTACACTTTCCTATTTGGAAACGAATCCTTGGCTTCACTGTGGATTTATATAAAAATGTATCATGCATAAAAAGTACGTACAATTAACAACTAGTGAAATGTTATTATACTACACAGTTAAACAATCAACGCATCCCTTCCTATAAGCGAGATTTTAATTTTCATTCTTTATTTAGCTTTTTAGGCTTGTAGTTTATTAACGTGCTTCCTAGAGGGACATACGGCTGATTTGTTCCCATTTAAATGAAAAAAAGAGTAGGAATTATTTCTTTGCATAACTAAATGCCTCTGTCCATCCATACAGAGAGACGTGGAACAGAACAATTAAAGAGCATGCTGGTACCAGGAAACCTCCCTGAAGGTCTGAAGCAAGCCCACTTCCACCCAGGAGCCAGACCAGGAACCACCAACCCGAACTTTACCCTTATCAGGAAGACCCGCTTTAAGATTCCATCTGAGCTGTGTACCTGTTTTGTGCGTGTTAAGCATGTGAAAAACCCCATTCATTTCAGACCAGGGTTTTTAAGCGTCAAGGCTAACCACGCAGCCTAACATTTCGCAGGCCTGAGGTCCGAGGCTGTACGGAGCCCCCCCGGCGCAGCGCGGAGCAAAAGCCTCTGCTGAGAGCTCAGCAGCCGCCGTGCAGCGCCCTGGCACAGACACAAGCACACCTCACCTCGGGGGCTGAGGAAACAAGCCCAGGCCACGCTGATCTGCCTGAGTTAACCAGCCTGGGGGTCTGTCCGCAAGGTCAGGGGCCTTGCACCACTTTGCTTAGTAATATGCATGTATGTCTCTGCCTTTATCATTTCCTCTCCTTAAGGATTTAAAAAAACAACCAACCAACCAAACAAAAACCAAACAAACCCAGAGAAACCAGCCCTGGGCTGGAGCACATAAAGTTAAAATAAAGACTTCCCAGTTGAATTATTAGACTGACACTGCAGAACAGGGATTAATGAGGCCCGCTGTGGGTTACCAACCTGCTTTAGCATGGTTTTTAATTGGCTGCTGAACACAAGCTTAACAGTGAGCTTCGCTGATTTCCAGCTTTGGACACCGAGCGACACGCATCAAAAGCACCTACCTGTTCATGTGGGCAGGACCGTAACCACCAATGGCATAGATCATTCCGTCCAAGACGGCCGCAGCAAAACAACTCCTCGTTTTGTTCATCGGGGCCACCAGCTGCCATTCCTTCACTTTCGGGATGTATTTCTCCACAGTTCGGAGGTAAGACTGCCCGTCGTAGCCACCTAAGGCGTAGAGCTCTCCTGCCAGAACCACCACTCCCAGAGTACTCCGGCTCTCAAACATCCTTTCAAGCGATGTCCAAGTGTTGGTATCGGGGTCCCAGCACTCCACAGAATTCTCGTGCTTTCGGTAACTGATGCCTTGACACACGTGGGTGGCAATCCCTCCCACAACGTAGATTTTCTGGTCGAGGACACATATGCCAAATTCGTAGCGGGGAATGCTAAGAGGTGCCAGGCCTATCCAGGAGTCATTCTGGGGAAAATACATTTCAACACTGAAATAGAAAAACAAAGATTATGTGAGCAAACCTAGCGTTCAGAAGCGGTGCGAAGTGCAAATGGGCATTACAAAACACAGTTTTAAGGTTATCTCGTACGTCCCATCTGATGTTTGCTGTTTCTTCCAACAGCCCAGACGTAAGCTAAAACCCAATGCTGCTCAGAATATTGTCCTAAAGCGTTAAAACCGCAGGGCCTCACAGCGTACAGTGCGATGCAGCGACACTGCAAGTAGCTACTGCACCCAGTCCGAGACCTGAACTGACGAATTCTGAAACTAGAAACCAGGCAGACTACGGAGAAAGCAGGCCTGCACCGTGGCTAACGTGAAGGAAGACAATACAGTGCTGACAGCACAGCAGCTTTTGGAGGCAGGCTGTGACTGCGGGAAGCTAAAAATACAAACCAAAGGGATAAAAAAGGTAAACTGAAAAAAATAATAAGAAAAAAAAACAAACCACAACAGTCAGAACAGCCGCAGAGATGGGAGACAGAGAAAAGGAGAATTAGAAAGGGGGAAGCACATGCCTATATATATGTTCAAACATACTTTTAGAAAGTACAAACTGTAGTTTTATAAATACGTATTTCACATGCACTGTATAATTTTAACAAAATGTCAAAGTAGTACCAACTAATTTGAAAAACCTGTTTTCAAAATACTGCTTATTTGCATTTTCTTTTAATTACACTCAGTGTTGAAATATGGTGGATCTAGCCTAACACGCATAAAGTCCAGTCAGCCTAGCTAAATAGTTGAGGTACTATTTAAACTAAATAGTTTACACTACTTAAATGATTTAAAAGAATATCTAGTATGCAGAAAATATGATCTGTTCAAAAAACATAGAAGAAAATGAAGCCACTGGAGAGCTGGCAGGCACTGACTAAGAACCCAGAAGCAGGGACTGCTGAAACACCAGACTGACGCCTGGCAGCAGCAGCCCAGGCACAAAAGAGCAGGACTGAATATACTCTAAGTAATTTTGTTAATACAAAGCAGCAGCTAAGTGAAAAAAAAAAAAAAAAAAAAACAACTAAACAGCCTTCCTGCAAGTACAAATGAAAAGTAGAATGACAGTAGTGGAACTAAGGATTCCTACTTCCCTGTGCGGGCGGTGAGGCGCTGGCACAGGGTGCCCAGAGAAGCTGTGGCTGCCCCCTCCCCTTTTTTGGTATGTTGAGAGCAATTGTTTAAACCAAAACAACAGTTTAGGAAATAATAATACAAATAATAAATCAAGGAAGAGCAAATTTTTGTATGCATTAAAACATTATTACAGTAGTAAAGAACACTTTTGTTTTTAAAAAAAATATCAAAATTATCCGGACTACATTGGTATCCAATAATGTTAAAACCACTGAAGAAGCTGTGAAGGAAACAGCTGAAGAGTATCAGAGAACAGGTTTATTCACTCAAACAGATTTTTTTATTAAGCACAAAAGCCCCTTTATTTTTTAAATCTATAAACCCAACAATTCCCAGTCCCAACACCTAGTTTACTACCAATCCCTATTATCGGGAAAGTTAACTTTAAGTAACTTTGACAACATGTGTAAACAAGGGCAAAAAGAACGTACAGATCTTCCCAGGTTTTTAAGTGTATGTATATATCTATGCAAGCACGGAACTGTCACAAAAAATATCTGAGAGTAAAATATTACCCCAGAATTCAGCTGTAGAACCAGTTTGGGTAGCGTGCCTTAGTGCAGAAGACGTTTACTGAGCTGATAAGGGGATATTCAACATCAAAGCACTAGATGTCTATGTATAAGTGTGCACGTACACGCAGACCCACGCACAGCTTACCTACCATTTCTGGAAATGGTAATACAATGTTATAAGTAAACCCAACCATACCAGTATTGGGAAGAAAGCTGAGTTTCTAATTCATTGCTTTTGCTCACATGGCTAGCCTCAGCGCTGTGCTCCAGTTACTGAAGAGGAGCTTCATTGTGAAAGCCAGGTAAAGAAGGATGGGCACTGACCTGTTTCTGCCAGCACGGATACGGAAACTACTCAGCAGCAGAGATGAAAGGTGTGATTACATTATGATCAAGAACGTGACATTGCTAAGAATTACCCCTTTGCTCTTCTCTGATTAAGTCTATTTCAATGCCAAGGACTTTTGAGTTATCAGGAAGCATATTTGTCATTCATTAGGTTAAATTTTAGGATTTGATTGTCTAGAATAATAATAGATCGAGGAAAAATTACGTGAAATGAAAAGACCTGAAAGGATAAAGAAGCAGAATACAGAGTTTTATTACTCAAATTCTCAATCAACAGAATTAAAATGATAAGATTTTATAGCTATCTGTGTTAGCAGAAACACAAACCCATAGCACCAAAGATTACTCTTGAAATCAAAGAAGCATTTTGAATTCAGTGCTCATCCTTGTTCAAAAAAAAAAAAAAAATCTACTCTGGAGTTCTTATGAAGGCAAGCAGTAACTACAGTCCTGCAAAGCACAGCTTCACAAAGATTGTCTTAATCCTCACCCAGGGGAATAACAAACATGCGGGAATGTCACACCACTCAAGTGCTGTTACTTACCTCTCCAAACATGCAAACAGTCCAGCTTTTCCTCCCACGGCACAAAGAACTTTAGGAGCGCAGCGGGGTCGTGTCATCAACATGGTCTGGTGGGAGAGTCTGTGTTCAGGCATGAAGTGGTACTTCAGGGCCTCATTTAGCAGATGTTTGCAGGTGTGGTCATCACGAATGAGATGATTTGCTTCATACAACCTGGTAAGAAACTTAACGCTCAGCAGTGGCAACCGAACGCAATGTAGCAGCTGTGCCAAGTACTTCTGTCGCTCCTGCACGTCGTATTTGATCCAGGACTCCAGCGCATAAAAAACGGTTTCTTCCGTCACAACGTTCAGGCAGTCATTGGAAACTATTTCATCCAATTCAGAATGCGTAAGCTCAAAAAATTCTTCTGTCTGACAAACATCTTCAAAGTTTTGGCAAATGTACTTGCTAGCAGCCACGTAGAGGTCATGGCAGCCGTAGGTCTCTGCAAAGCGAGAAATCCCGATGCAGTTGCCAGGATCAAGCTGGCTTTCAAGAAACGCACAACACTCCTTCACCACCAGTTTGATCTGGAGGAGATTCGCAGCTGGAAGAAGTGACTCTACGGTGTCCTGCGAGATGAACACGGTCCCCGTGTAGGCGTACTCCACGATGGCCTGCAGGGCTGCCTCGTCGATGCACTGGAACTCCACCTCCGCGTTCTCCTTCTCCGAGAGGTTCCCAGTGAACATGGCTTTGAAGTAGGGACTGATGCTGGCCAGCACCACTTTGTGGGCATGGATCTTGACATCGCCGACTCTAAGGATAATGTCACAGAGCTCGTGATGCTGGCGAAGGAGGTTCAAGCCTTGCAGAAGCTGTTCAGAATGCAAGTGGGTTAAGTTGGCAAGCATGTAGGTTGGAGACGACTGGTCCATCTGTGACAAACAGAATTTTTAACGCATTACTCAGGGCTTCACTTCAACGGTTTCATTACTCATGTTACTTAGACGTGCCATACATAACATTTTAAAAAAATATTTTTCCGTTTTTGCTTTTATCTTATTTAGGTTTATTACTTTCCAATTGACTTTTTCAATCCTTATGTGCTATGCTTTTTCAGGCAAGTTAAATCCAGGACAATTAAACGTTTATTAATAGTGTATGCTATATTAATCATCAACTCAAAAAAAAAAAAAACCAACTCAAAACCAACCACCACTTTTTTTTTTTTTTTTCTTGTTCTGGAGTAAAATGCATATTATCTAAAGCGTTGAATACAGGACAGGATTCTACATTAGATATTTGAGAAAACCCAAGAGTGACCGAAATAAAGAGAGATAAAGAAAGAATAGAACCGGCTGCTTTCAAACAAAGTTTGAAAAGTTCTTAAACTACTTCCTGCTACCCGCCTTGCAGCCCACCTGGTGCAGCCCAGCCCTGCTGCGCATCCCCTCCGAGCAGCGCCCCGCTCGCCCTTCCTCACCCAGAACCTGGCGGTCCCTCCCGCCGCACAGAGGCAAGAGAGACCCTGGGAGCCCAGGGGGCTGGGACTGCAGGGGAAGGGGAGCTGGGGCAGGGGTTACTGTACTCTGAGCGGGCAGAGGAGATCCCTGCCTCGCCTCACTGAGCGGCTTCCACCGGGGAGAGCAAATCCCCAGCGGGCATGCCCTCGCCCTCCGGGGAGATCAGAGCCGGGGCAGACCGGGCGCCGGGCCTGTCTGCACCATCCAGAAGCGAGGGGTGGGAGCTGGTGAGGTGCCAGGGTGAGCAAGGGAGCGGGTCCGGGGGGGCAGGCTGAGCATCCCGGGGTCTGTCACCCCTCCCACCCCCCCACGCTTCCCAGCATCGCCAGTAACGGCAGAGAGGAGGATCCCCGGTCCTCCCTACAACTCCACAAAACCCCGAGACGCTTCTTCCAAAAAGTTTTAGTTTGCATCGTGACACTCGAAGGCACTATGATACCTGCTCTAATTTCAGTATCATTAAAATTCCAACGGTGCTGCCCACCACTACCTGTTGGAGAAGCAGCTCTTTATTCAGACTGAATTATTATAGCAGTGAGGGTGGAGAGCGTCAGGATCCTGGACCACGAGGAAATAGAACTATTGTTCTCCAGAGAACACCACAACCACTCAATTTCTGAACTGAAAAGCTGACAATTTTGATTTGCTAAACGACTACACAAACTTCAAGATCTCACTTCTTTTATCTTATTATTAAGAAGTTCATCATTTTTACAGCTCCTTAACTGACATCTAATTTGCAGTGAGCCTACTTAGAAAGTGCTTAATCTGGAAGAATAAAATTAGTTGCCAACATTTAAATACAGAACATAATAGAACTGACAGAGAAGTGAAGGCTTACAGCTAGAGAGAGAAAAACTCTTACCCATCAAAAGATAAGTAAGCTCATCCCTCTTGTATTACAATATATTCCAGTATATATTTCCTATACTGGAAAAAAAAACAACCCATACCTAAAAGAAAGTATTTTAAGTGTATCTACAAAACACAAGATTCCACACAAGAGCATTTCCCACATAACAGCACAGATTTTTGCAGCACAAATATGAGGGGAGGGGGAAGCTGTTCAGCAGCTAAAACTTTTCCTTTTCTGTCTGCACTCTGTTCATAACTTGACTGTATGTACACCCAGATATCATAAACCAAGAGGCAACACCACAGGGAAGGAAAAAGGAATGGTTACAGTTCAGATGCAAAACCTGCAAAAAGTTATAAATAACTACATTTAAGCTATTCTGCTGAAATAAAACTTCCTGTACCAACTTGGTAGAGATGCCTACTGTTGTACCTCACGCCCCTCCTGCATGGCAGTGCTCGCCCACACCACATACTTGCACACATTTATTTTATTGCCGAGCAAGAAATCAGAAGCTGGAACATTAACCAGCCCTGAAGAATGTATGCTGCTCCAAAATTTTGGGCTCACAACACAAACTGAACGGTCGCCCCTAGGCTCGGGGTTACCAGATCTTTTTCACAGTCTGGAGGTAAAACTTGCCTTGAATAGCAGGGAAAGTTATTTGAAATAAAAAGGTTTATCAGATAAACAGGTAAGCTTGGTTACTGAAGGTTTTACTTCGCTAAAAAGCCACGGTATGCAGCTATAACCGGTAAGTGATGCAGAGCACAGCATTTTATGCGAAAGCAGCAGGAAGAGCTGCAGGCACTTTGCTGTTTCAGGGTGATATTTAAGTGCTCGCCAGCTCCTCGTTTAGACCACAAAATGGATGGAGCCAGTAAGCGCCCTGCCTAGTCTCGGTACGCGCCGGAGACCGTAAAACCTCAGAAGCACCCGCTGCCGCGCAAACTGCGGTCCCACACACCCTCGTGCGCCCCAAATAATAAAAAAAAAAAAATAGAAAAAACCCCACTTTCTACATGTTAAAAAAAAAAAAAAAAAAAAAAAAAAAGGAAAAAAGCAGCAGAAGCGCAACTGCCTCGCTGAGGGCACCCGGTGCTCCCTGCACCCCCCACCCCGTGCCCCCCTGCTCCGCAGGGCAGCGGGGGGGCAGCGGGGGGACCCCGCGGGGCCCCTCCGCGGCCGCGCCATCCCCCGTTCCCCCCCCCCCCCCCCCGATCTGACCTGCGGGCGGGGGGCGCAGCCCCGGCCAGGCCCTGCCCGCCGCGCCGCCGCCACCGCCGCCGCCACCCCCGGCAGCGCGCCGCGTCACTTCCGCCCCGCCACCTCCCCTCGCCCCCGCCCAATCAGCGCAAGGGGAAGCGCCGCGCACCCGCCGCGGCGCTCGGGAAATACCACCGCCCGCTCTGAGAGAGGGGGGGTGGGTGTTGGAGCGGGAGGTTGTTCCTTTCCCCCGGCGGCGCAGCCCCGCTCCTGCCTTACGCCTCAGCGCCGGTTGTAGAGTGAACGCGTGGCGGAGGAGCGCGAGGCGTGGGCGAGCGCACCGCACGGGCAAACACGCACCTCACCCCCCCCTCCCCTGCGGAGGGGTGGGCGGCGCCGCGCAGGCGCGCTGCGGGCCGGCCCCTGGAGACGGCGGGTGTTGCGCGGCGTTGCCGGGGCGGGGGCGGCTCCGGTCCGCGCCGCCCATGGCCGCCGCCCTCACGCTGCCGCCGCCGCCGCCGCCGCCCGCCCTCGCCATGGAGGAGCCGGCGGGCCCCGGCCGCGGTGGGCGGGCGGCGGCTGAGGGCGATGCCGCTGAGCTGCCGTGGGGGCCGAGGCCGGCGCTGCGCGGCCGCCGCCGCGGCCTAGGCGAGCTGTCCCGCAGCCTGGCCTGGCAGCTCGGCGGCCCCGGGCCCGCCGGGAAGCGGGAGGAGGAGGAGGAGGAGGAGGAGCGGGGTCCCGGCGCCCATCAGCGGCTGCCGGAGGGCCGGATGGGCGACGAGGGGACGGCGCCGCCGCCGCCCCCCGCCCAGCCCGGCAGCGCCGGCCTGAAGTTCGGGCTGTTGCCCCCCGAGCTGCACGCTCGCCTCCTGGACCAGGAGGACTACAAGAACCGCACGCAAGCCGTGGAGGAGCTGAAGAGGGTGGTTGGAGGTGCCAGCCAGGCCGCGGTGACCTCCGCCCCTGCCCCCTGCCTCCTGGGGCTCATCAGCTTCCTCTTCACCCTCCTCGATGATTCCAACTTCAAGGTGGTGCTCGGGGCGTTGGAGGTGATCCACCTGCTGGCCCTGCGCCTGGGCGAGCAGGTCCAGGCTTTCCTGGCCCCGCTGGTCTCCGCTGCTGCTAAAGTCCTGGGGGACAACAAGCTGGCCATCCGGCAGGAATACAACCGCCTGCTCCTGCGGCTGATGAAGGCAGCGGGTCCGCGGCAGGTGCTGGCCCTGCTGCTGCAGCAGGAGTACCTGCAGCACAAGAACTCCAGAGTCCGCGAGGAGGTGGTCAACGTCTGCATCGTGGCCCTCCTCACTTACCCGAGTGAGGAGCTGGACTTGGCCAAGCTGGCCTTCGGGCTGGCTCCGGCGCTGGTGGATGGCAAGCGCAGGGTCCGGCATGCCGCTATGGAAGCGTTCGCTGTGCTGGCATCTTCCATGGGGCCGGGGAAAACCGCCCTTCTCTTCAAGGCGGTGGATGCTGTGGAGCTGGAGGACAACGGGGATGGGGTGATGCACGCGGTGCAGGCCAGGCTGGCCAGGAAGACCCTGCCGAAGCTAGTAGACCAAGGGTTTGTAGAGTATGCTGTGCCCTTGCTGTCCTCGGGTCATAACAGGGGGTCCTGTTTGCCCCCCGGAGCAGACACAGACTGGCTGCTGATGGGCAGCAGGACTCAGAGCGCACACAGCTACTGTGGGTATCACGCAAGGGACGATGTTCTGCAGAACTCCAGTTCGCATGGTGCGTGTGCCGATCAAGGAGTAAGTCAGAGAAGAGTCTTGAGTGCAGGTAAAGGAAAAAACAAGCTGCCTTGGGAAAATGAGCACGCTGGAGACAGGGAAGGTGGTTCAGGAGCCAAGATGCCTTTCACAAAGGGTGTGGAGCAGGTATGTACTCGTAACTCGCTGGGCTCCTTTATTCTAAGGCGTGTGCCAAAGGGAGATTTGAAAGTTGTTGAAGGTGTATTAAATGGCGGGTATTTGTGAGGTATGACTAATACTGCTCATACTTTATGTGCAAGGGTCTCTATGTGTACATCAATCTGGGAAGGCAAACTTGAGGACTCCTTATGTCAGATTTTAGACTACTAGGAAGCAGGCAATTTACCGCTTACAAAAAAAAAAAAAAAAATTTTTTTTCTGAAGTTAACTGGACTCTGACACACCTTTACATCTAACTGTAGCAACCTGTCTCTGACAATGGCTAGCTAAAACCCAGGGGATGAGTACAAGAGTGGGGAAAGTACTTCACAGCTGCTGTTTGTATGTTTGTGTTTGAGTGTATCTGACCGATTGCAGAGTTTCCTAAATACAGAAGCTGTTTGGAGAAAAACTGACAAATTACTTCAACTTGGGCTTTGAAGGCAGAGCCCTGGAGTGTGGCTGAGCCAGAGCTTCTTGGTGCTGTGCTGACCTCTAATAAAACCAGGAGGTTTTCAAATGTGTGTGTGGCTCTTGTTCCTCTGTCTGATTTGACTAGGAAGAATATAGGTCAGGCTGAAATAGCAGTTCCCATTGACACACGTTTTGATTTAACCTCTTGCTGACCGTGTTGGTGGCTGCAAAGGGAAGGAACCTTCGAAAAATTGTTCAGGTCTCTCTTACTTTGGCAGTGGTTCTGTTCTAGGACATCTGTTTTGGATACCAGCCATGCCTTTAAGACCTGGGGGAGTGTATCTGTGTTTGAGAGGTTTTCTGTTGTGTTGTGGTTTTGTTTTTTGCTTTTATTTAAACTGGGCAGGTTTAATTTATCATAACTTGATCTCCAGCGAGTGAGTTTAAGCAAGCAGATGTTTTTAGAAAATTGAAAGCTCTGTAGAATAGACTTCCTCACTACCACTTTTATGTATTCAGAATTTAATTCTCAGTTGCCTAGTAACTTGTTCCTGTATGGGATGAGGTCATGAACAGTGCTACTTTGCGATGGCTAGCTTTTAATAAAGTATCTTAACGAAAAGAAACCTGAGTTAACATTATCGTAGTGTAAAAACTTTGAAGTTCAGGTATGTACTTGTATGCACACATGCCCGTGTCCTTCCCTGGTGTATGCATGACCATTATTTAGTCTGCTAAAGAGATCTGTATCTTTTTGAGTTAATGAATCAGGCAATCAAGTTCCCTTGGGTTAAGTACAAGGCAAATAGGGTCTGGACAGAAAGATGTGTAGGAAGCATCCCCTAGAGCAAGAAGATTTTCTTTTTGAAACAACTTTTCAGTATTAACTAATATGACTTGTAGAAATAATAGTTAATGGACAGCATTCTTTAGGCAAATCGGGCTGAGTTCTTTTTTTACTGCTGCTGTTTGCTGCTGGCAGGGCTTGTGTTTTTCTGTAGACTGCAAACCAAAAGCCAGCCAATACACGCACCAAAACCTGGCTGCTGCTTGAAATGGTGGAAGGTTCTCCGCTCAAGACAGCCCTTTCTCGAGATCACAGTTAATTGCTCTGGAAAAGGTTCTTTTCTTTTCTTTTTTTTTTTTTCTTTAACATTTTTGTGCGTGTGGTTGTATTTATGCCTGTAACTTGGTAGGAGTGCCCAAAGTTTCCAACCCTGGAGAGAGGGAGACAAAGCAATTAATTTATGGCTTCTGTTTTGTTGTATATGTAAAGTGCATTTAGAAATGGTGTGAACTGAAATTTGATGTGGGGAAGTAGCTACATATTTATGGCTTCAAGTCAGTGATAATGAGGTACTCAGTTTGCTAGGGAGCATCCTTGATACTAGTATGATAAAATTCTTTTAGACTATGTGGTTTTCGATGTGTAGTATGAACTTAATGGGCATAAATCTCATCTCATAATCTTGGGAAGAAAACCAACCTAACTGCCAGGGGTCTGGAGTGCTGAGTGTGCACGTGGCGGGGTTTGGCTTTGTTTCTAGTACTACTGTCAAAGGTGGGCTACAGGGAGCTCTCACATAAGAGAGCTAGTTACCTCCTGCCTTGAAACCTGAAGGACCTTCAGATTCACTTCCTACATGTGACAACCACTGGGCTTATCAATTCATCATCCCAACATTTGTCTGTGTGACTGAATTGCTGTGGAATGACAGCTTTTCTTCTTTTCTCCTTGGAAGACTTTTCCAGTTACATAACATCATGCAAATACCTCAAATTTAAATTAACATTTTCCTTTTGTGATCATCTTTCCTTACATCCTTGTGTATTATGCCAAATATTTCACTTTGTTCCTACTTATAAACAGATGTAGAACTTATATTTGGGTGATCCAATTTTGCAGAACTAGAACAGGCTCTGATTCAGCCTTTATTCGGTGAAAGTGCCGTTCTGAACAGGAACTATTTGTGACTACGGGTGCGGGTTACTTCCAAATCTCTTTTCCTCTGCTGCTATATGAGGACTCAAGCTGTGAAGTTAACCAGTCTTGCTTTGCTTTTGCTGCTGCCACATGGTCTAAAGTAGGTGGCAATGCAAATACTTCTACAGGGAGAAAATCCTGTTTGTCATGTACTGTATTTATTCCTTTTTAATAAGAACTGTTTGTTTGTTGTTGTTTTTTTTTTTTTTTTTTTTTTTTCCTCTAATGAGTTTTTCTAAGACATCCCGTGCCTCCTAGAGATTGTTTGTTCCTGTCTCTTCCTTCTGCTTTCTGACTTGTTCTGTTTACCTCTCGCTTCCATTTTGTGTCCTTGCATATTTCAGTTGGTAGAAAACAGTTTGGTAACTTCCAGGTGTCAGAATTTGAGGACTTCATCAGTTGCATTCTACCAAAGGAAACGCGTTAATGCTCCTTTTGCAGTCTTACTTGAAAGATGTCTGAATAACCAGAAACCTCCAATTAACCAGAATTCATTTTACACTGAATTTTAACTCCTCTCCACACAGCTTTTGCTTACATGCAGGTAAGTACTGGCAAAAATAACATTTCCTGTCATGTTTGACAGAATTTGCAAGTTACCCATGTTGACCTGGGCATGGATGAACATGGTACCAAAATTACGCCTGCATTACCGGCTTGCTTTAGCGGTGCTGGTTCACCTGATGTGAACAAAGTCAACAGTGTTGTTCCCATCGTCATAAAGAGACATCTGAAGGCTGATACAATCCAGC